TAATTATTAATTTTATAAGTAAAAAAGTAAAATATTTTTAACTAATATATTTAAAATATTTAAAAATCATAAATGTTTAATATCTATACCTATAAAGTTTGAAAATGCAATATAATTCTATATAAGTTTTACGATTTATTTACTATACAAAAATAGACAATAGTTTTGCATGGTAACTAGAAATATGCATCAAATAGACATTTTGCTATTAATTATATAATTTTCAAAATATTTGGCTAATTTTAAGCTGTATTTATAAATTGTAGATTTATTTATAGAAATTAATTATAATATATCCATAAATCCTAAGAAATTGAATTCTGACCGGGTAGGTAAATTTTATATGTATCTATGTTCGACATAACTGGTCGGTTATTATTTTCTAGGATATTTTTACCCCACTTAAAAACACATTTTTACCGTGGAGGGGGGGGTAAAAATATCCTACTATTAGTGCACCTGAGAGGTAAATATATCATAGTATATTTTAAACAGGTATTTAAATATTTAATATATTATGCTAGGATATTATTACCTCCAACGTACAATTTTGATTTAAGGGGGGGGGGGGTGGAATAACGTAGTATATTTTTACTCACTTTAAAATTATGGGTAATATACAAGGATATTTTTATAGAGAGGGGGTAAAAATTGCCATTTATTGGGCCTCAATTCAAAATTTAGTTTTTAAGAACTACTTAAGTATATAGGTATTATTTAAAGTTTTTTTTTTAAAAACTAAAACTTTTCTAAATAATGAGTGTAGACATCCCACACAGCATTTGTATAACATTAATATTATTATAACTTTACGATTTGGTTAAATTACAAATATTATAACTTTGACGTTATTATAATATTAACCAGAGTTTATAAGAGTAATATTATATTTTAAAAATGTCTTTTATATGCTTATTAAGTTTTATATAATAATATTGAAATTAATATCATAGAAAAATAGTATAATAACATTTAGTGCCTAACTTTATAAAAAGTTATATAAAAAATTGTATGTGTATGTTCTAAGTTGGTTGAGTTTGTAACATTTACTATCGCAATATATGGGTACTGTATTATTATATTATATATATTTATTATAATAGTACCTGTATATATATAATATATGATTAGTACCTATAGTATAATAGTGCATAACATATAAGTTATATAATACTTATACCTAATACCTATCTATAGGTATACTATAAAGTAAAAAATACATTATGTAGTATGTATGTATATTTTACTTAGGTGGTTGTTAATTTAAATATGATCCCTATGACTGATGTAGGTATATCTAGGTAATTAGTAATTTCTATAATAACCCTGCCATCTTGTAAAATGCTTGAATGAACAAATTTGGATTTTAGTATAAAATAAACTTTTATTGTTATTTAATATTGTTTTAAATATAGGTAGGTACTTTTATGTTAAGTACCTACCTATTCAATCATTTATTTAAAATATTTTTATTTTTATAAAATTTTGTTGTGTAGTGCATATAAATCGATTGTTATAAAATTTATAAATTTAATGTTGTTTAACTATATGGCATCTTTCAGTCATCCAATGTTAAAATCTGCAAAATGAAGACGGAGATAAAAGGCCAGTTCTAGAAAAATAAATATGTTTCTTGTGGTCCTATTTTGTATTTTTTTTAAATTTATTATCGATTGTTAATTGTTATAATTTACAATATAATTTTATACTATATTCTTAACAATACTATTATATTCGTTGAATAATTGTTGAAGTCTACCATTCGTGATGTTACTATGTTAGACGTAAGTATATAATATAATATGTAATATACCTACTTATTCTTATACTAGAACGATATTTTACCTACTATATATTACTCGTTTTTATATTTATAAATATGGTAAATAATTAAAAATATAATAATATGTGTACCACAATCATTTATCCAGCGATTTATACGATATACTTGGACCAGTCTTGCCATCACCTGACATATTTGCATTCCTCCAGGAGACCGGATTGGACAAACTTATTTAGCCTACTGAATACTCAACCTCATAATTAAGCTTATTTAATTTAGTCTAGACATTTGCTGTTATTAAAATTTTTCTATTTATCATGTAACACCTATTTGTAAAAAAAAAAATGTATCTTATCCCAATGGCCAAGTTGCCGAGGGTTATTTCTTTAATAAAAAAAAAAAAAAAAAAATAATATGTGTACCTACCTACAATTGATTTAACCAATGCCATTATGCATTAAAATTCCTAAGTGTTTAAGGAAGGTAGGTATTAAGCAATATGAACCATATGTACTTAAATACTTTGCATAAATGGCTTCTTTTTATCAATAGGACATATTCTGTATTTTTGTCATATTCAAAATAACCGCGCTTGGGATCATTAATTTGACCGCGTAACAGCCTGCTTGTTGGTCATCGAACGTTCTATGGTTCTATATAGGCATCGGTATCAGTCCTACCAGCCCTCGGTGGCGACGACAAAGCTTGTAGACGGTTGACCGACCGAAGCGCCAAACGGCAAACTGTGCGAGACGCGCGTAAAGTGTAAAGTGAACAAAGAACTATTATAGTAGTCACAAGTCACTAGTCTTTAATAGTTTAATCTTTATGCCATATTGCCATTTGCGACTTGTTTTTCTTAAGCTACCTATGCTTTAGTTTTATTACCGTTTTCGTGCGTCGCAAATCGGAATTATTGAGTTCAAAGCCATCAAGTCGTGTGCAGTTTGTGGTAATTATTAACTTTTCAACTATAGAAATTATAATTACCAAGTACCTATTAGTTTTTTCGCTGTCATCGCCATTGTCTGAGAGTCTGACCAGTGTGTCGACTTGTGCTTGACATCCTTGGTCATCATCGATTTGTACATTCCACGTGTTCAAATAGTTCTACTCCACTATAATATCGTGAATTGTGTTTAATATATTATTATTATACACAATTCCTATAATTTTAGTATAATAATACAATAATATATAATGTATATTGTAGCGTCTTGAGATCATTTGGCTGTTTCGCTGTTTTGGTCGTTTAACGGATTAAAGTATTTTAGGGAGGTTAACCGTATAAAACGTAATAACTGTACATGTACCTACGTCTTATTGATGAGCATAATTTTTATTTTGAAAACAATCGATTTTATCACTTGATCTCGAAACGCTTAAGTTAAATCAATCATATAAAAATTATTTTGTTATTTACCTACATACCTACCTACTGGCTACTATATATTCTGTCAAGTCTTTAATACTACTCAAATATACATTTTACATTTTAAAACAGTATGATTTTATAGTTTATATGGATGTTATAAGTAGTAGGTACCTAGTGTTGTCTCTATCTTACACACATATAGGTACAACATAGAAAATGTCCGTTAACAAGAATTGATTGTGTTGTCATTAAAGTGAACGAACCTTTTAACTAAATTGAAAGGTAAGGATATTATCTGTTCTTAAGCGTTAAATTGTTTTATATTTTTATTTTTAAGTGAGATAGGTAGGTACCGAAGTCTTTTTACTATGTGATATATTTACACATACTCATGTGTTACTTGAAAATTAAAATATAAAAAAACCGATGCTTGAGTATTGATAATGTTGTTACCTTTGAGTTTCAAAATAGATCAATTCACATCCAATATTAAAACAAGCAATACACAATTGATTCTGATAAATTAACGTAGGTATTTTGATGATATTTTTTAATACACGTGTATAAGACAGACAAATGATGTAGCATCATCTTAAAATAAATATCTATCTACATAAAATCATGTAGTTTCGGTCGGTATGTACCTATTTTATGAATTTAAATAAAGACAGTTAATATACCTACTTAGGTAGGTACATATTACCTAAGTAATTACTAATTATTATAATGTATAGACTTTTTTATATTTATTTAAATTTAAATAAAATTAGGTAACTTACTTTATACTAGGTAGCTAATAAATAATATTTACTTGATTCTTAATACTACGTATAGGTACCTATAACTAATATTAGGTATGTAATTTGTACAACCTAAAGTTAAAAATTTCCTACAACCACAATCTGAAAGAAAGTAGGTACTAATGTAATAAAATATAAGAAAGGTACCTGACCTATCAACATGGGAACTAAATTTTCTGTATTTTTAATTGACTAATAATTATTTAGGTATTTTGATTGCCATGAATTATTTTTAAAAAAAAAAACCAAGATGGGTAATAAATAATAATGAATAGTTCAAAATAATATAACTAAATTACTTACCCACTCAATTGTTTCAATTAATTTTAATTTCAGTTAGTAATAAGTAGGGATGAGAACTTATAGGAGCTAAAAGAGACAAAATATGCAAGGAAAAATTATGATTTATGCATCAAAAATTTGAAAATAGGCAAAAAATATATTATAATATACAATTTTTTCTATAAATAAAAAAACATGTTTATAATAAATTAATATAAATAATATTTCGTTAAATTTGATTCTGTTAAAATATAAATAATTTTTAACTGAGTGATAAAAAATTAATACTAGGTATAAATATGAGGTGAAATGATTGGTAGGTGTATTGATTATCAGGTGATTTAATCTAAAATAATAAAAATAAAATTTTATAATCTTGTAATATATTTAATAATTATTTTTTCATACCTGTAAATTTGTTGCTTTTATATACTATTAAATGTTATTGATTATTGACTACAAACTTAGAAAATTCAATAAAATAATAAATAATTTTACTAAATATGCATTTTTATGCACAAAAAAACATAAATATGCAACTTTTAAGAAAACTACCAATATATGCTACAATATGCAAAATTTAAATACCAAATTTTAATTTATTAGGTTATAGAACAGATTTTTAGCTCACTTGGCTATAGATAGGAGATATAGAAAAAAATGTGCAAATCCTATAACTTCTCATCCCTAGTAATAACTAATAACATAATATGAGTTTCTTTATTTAATTGTATTTAAAAATTCATTTTGTAGCTTAAAAATGATTCGAAGTGGACGTTCTAAACGCAGAAAAATTAGAAATGAACTAAATACACTTTGTACATTACATTCAAAGTTTTTAAACAAAGAAGATAATATTGTTGAACCAGCTGTATTGGATGAAAATGAAGATTTAACTCATCCTTTAATTTCCATTCAAGATAATAATATTGTCTTAAGTCAAGATGAATCTTGCTCCTTGTTTGAATTTGTTAATCAATCTCCACCGTCAGTTGAAGTTGGGGTTAATCCATTTAATTTAGAAGAATCCATCAACGATTCAGTATTAAATGAAACTACACCCTTTTCAAATTCAGTATCTAGTTCAAACTTTATTTCTATGGAAGATCAAATATGTCAATGGGCAATTCAATTTAATATTAAACATAATGCTGTCAATAGCTTGTTAAGTTGCTTGAAGAATCATAAGTGTTTTAAACATTTTCCGATCGACAGTAGAACACTATTTGGTACCCCAACTCAAAAATCAAAAGAAATCAGAACTGTACACCCTGGAATCTACTACCACTTTGGTTTGGAATTTGGAATTAAGAAATATGCACCAACAAATTCATGTTGTATCGAAATTGCTATAGGTATTGATGGGTTACCATTGTCCAAAAGTAGTGGGGCTCAATTCTGGCCTATTCTTGCATATATAATGAATATTCCAAAGAAAATAGTTTTTCTTGTTGGCTTATATTATGGAACTGAAAAACCTCATGATAGTAACGATTTTCTAATAGATTTTGTTCAAGATGCCAATAATCTTATAACTAATGGTATAATTTTAAACAATACTAATATTAAAGTTTCAATCAAATTATTTACATGTGACGCACCGGCTAAATCGTATGTGCTAAAAGTTAAAAGTCATGCAGGTTTTTCTTCATGTACTCGATGTACCATTGAAGGAGAGTATATTAATAATAGAGTTGCATTTCCTTATTCAGAAAACCATTCAACAAAAAGAACACATGAACACTATCTGCAAATGTATGACGAAGATTATCATATTTCAAACCAAATTTCCATTTTAACACAAATTGATGGATTTAATTCTGTTAATATGTTTAGCATTGATTATATGCATCTTGTGTGCCTTGGTGTTACTAAAAAGCTTATGATTCTTTGGTTTAGTAAAGGTCCCTTAAACGTTCGTGTAAGATCAAGAAAAACTCATGAGCTTTCATCAAATTTATTAAATTTAAATTCTTATATTACAACAGACTTTGCTAGAAAGTCTAGAAGTGTTTTTGAAATGCGCAGATGGAAAGCAACAGAGTTCCGTTTATTTCTACTATATACAGGGCCTATAGTCTTAAAAAATATAATAACTGATGAGTGCTATGCAAATTTTATGGCATTGAACATTGCCATGACAATACTTCTCAGCCCGAATAATAATCATCTTTTGAATTATGCAAGGGAATTACTTAATTTTTTTGTAAAAAGTTTTCAATAAATTTATGGTGTTCACAATATATCACATAACATCCATAATTTATTACATCTTGGTGATGATTATCAAAACTATGGGCCATTGGACAATTGTTCTGCTTTCTGTTTTGAAAATTATATGAAGGAACTTAAATTATTTTTGAGGAAAAGCGAAAAACCTCTTCAACAAGTTATAAACCGTTATTATGAAAAATATAATTCTAAACAAGGAAATGATAATTATATAGAGGTCCCATTTGATCAACCAATATTAAGAAATGAACATACAAACGGTCCATTAATTAAAAACATATCTGGGTCTCAATATTATACATTTTTATTTAAAAGCATATCATTAAGTTTAAAAAAAGAAAAAGACAGTTATTTTCTTACTACAAATAATGAAATTGTAAAATGTCTAAATATTGTACAAAATGACATAGGACATGTATTACTAATTGGAAAATATTTTAAAGAGTTAAATCCATTATTTGACAATCCTATAAATTCCTCAATATTAGACATATTTGAAATAAATAACATATCTAAAAGAATGAAGTATTGGTCAGTATCTCAAATAAAAAAAAAAATGATGGTATTCCTACAAAATACAAAATTGATTGCTATTCCCATCATACACACTGATCAGAATTAAAATTAAATTAAACTATTTATTTTATTGTGTGTATATATTTGTATTTATTTTTGTTATATTATGTAGATAGGTATTTCAATTTATATATGATTGATGATTATATAATATATATTTTTATTGGCATTTACTAAACACTACAATTACAGATGTCTGGCTGGGATATTGTATTATTTAAAAATGATAATAGTGTAGAAGCTGTACCATCAAGTTGGTTACGCAAACATTCTTGTGCGTGGCCTAAAAATTCAAGAAATGCAAAAAAATATATAGAAAAACAAATAAAACCAAATCCTGACGATTTTATATTTTATCCAGCAAGAAAACTTGGAAATAAAACTTATAGTATGTTTTACCTATTTAATTAAATGTAGAATTATGTGTATTTTTCAGTAAAACAATTTGTATATTTTAAATTTTTTACAGTTTCTTTTCTTGAGGCTCGAAATAAATTAACTAAAGCTACATACAAGTCCGAATTTTCAAGTACTGAAGATGAAATGGTTAATATGAGGCATCGAAAGAAGATAAAATGTCCAAGTTTATCACCAAACGCAACAAAATATATAAAAACTGCCAAAGACCAATGTAAACCTCATCTAAGTGACAGTTGTCCACCTCGTTTTATCCCTGTTAAAGGTATTTTTATTTAATTAAAAATGTATACCCATGATCCATCAAAAATGTAAAATACAAAATGACTTATTACTTACCTATACATTTTACCTAGCTACCTTTAATTAATTATTAATTTTACTTTCAATCTTAATTTTTATATTGATAATATTATACTGGTTGTGATAGTTTCCCTTGTGAATTTTTTATTATTATTTGTATTATAATTTGAATATGTTAGGTATAATACACATTTTGCATTTTAATATCAATATAGTATTACTTGTCTAATTTTATAATATATACATTTGTTTTTACTTAGAAGTTTTTAACAACAAAGTTAAGGAAATTACAAGGATTTCTGATTCTAGTAGCGGTGACAATAATGATGATACTTCTAAAGATCCTACATGTAGTTTTAACAACAAAATGGATTTAAATGAGTTACAAAGTAATTTTTTATAGATCTAATATCAACGTAATATAATAATTGCATATTATACTTATTGTTATCCTTATATTTAATATTAGATGTTGATGAGTTAGAAAAATTGTTAGTTGATGATGAGTTAGAAGAATTGTTATCACTTTCTCCCACGTTCACTCCAGTTAAGAATCAATTGAAAACCAGTAACATTGATATAATAGATTCAGCCATCGGTAAATGGTCAGTTGAAAAATATGATGATATTTCTTCCAATAGTAATAAAAGTCACTGCAGTATGCTTGTAAAGAAACAACTGTTTATTGATAATACTAAAGGAAACAAGTCAGGTACTGAATATACAAATTCAATTTAAAATAGTTCTTAATGTTTAATTACTATGTTTTAAGTTTCTACTGTTGAAAATGTAAACCCGCCGAGCAATACAGGAGATAATCGCAGTATTTTCATGTCAACATCAGGTGATTTTTGAATTGTTTTACCAAAAAATGAGATGAACTAATTATTGTGATAGTATGTAAAAATTGATTAGTTAATATTTTTTCAGATTTTCAAACTTTTGTGATAAACACATTAACTCATATAAAATATGATATTAGTAGTTTAATTAATGTTAATCAAATAACTCAAGCAAATGTACAAGTTTTAATGGATAATATTCAAACAAAATCATTATCTAATCAAAATATATCTGCAGATGTTTTTGACATTGAATCATTTTTGCCAATAACAAATCATCACGAACTCTTAGCTATTGAAAATAAAATCCAAGACACTGATTTCAGAAGCTCGTTGGTATGTATAATAATATAATTCATCAGATACAATTTGTAACTAGAAAAAATAAATATTTTATTGTTATTTAGGTTAGTAAGTTGTCGTTATTAGTTGGTAATAAGGATTTGGGAAATAGTGTACGAAGAATAATGGCTAGAGTATTTGATGACCAAATTTTAGCTGAATTCTCATTGTATGGATTCAAGAAGAAATCACCATTTTCCAAATTGCTGATCTACCGTGTTATAATTGGTAAAAATATTTTATTTGTGACTGTTAAAACTTATAGTAGGATTTATGACTGAGTTTTTTGTTTTGGCTTCTCATTGGAATGATAATTTAATTTGTATCCTGATTTGTATAGAGGCATCGAGCTCTTATTACCAGGCCAAAGACAAACACAATAGCCAGACCAAATCCAAGAGAAGCAAACAAAGAATTCATATCTATGTAACCATATCATATCCTTATAAGTTATATTCATACTTTTAATATTAGTTGGTAGGAGGCAACTGCTTTCTCCAGGGAGGACCCCCACCCATTAGCTATAGACCTGTATATTAAATTGCAGCACAATTTAAATATAGTTGTTCATTTCAGATTCACTAAGAGCCCATATCAAGTACAAAATGATCACAGAGAAAGAAATTGATATTCCTCTTTCAACCTGGCTTTCCCATGCCCCATTTCGTATCAAAGATAAAACTAAAAAACAACGTGACTCTCAAACATCTCAAGCTTAATTTTGTTTAATTTGTATTGTTTATATTAAAACTTGTTTGTTTTTATAAAAAAAAACTACTGTTTCCAAACATCTCACAGAATTTTAATTTTTTTTTTCTATTATAATCTTGTTAATTTTTAATTTGTTTAAAAGTAATTTTTCCTTAAATAACCTAGAAAGTTTCTAGACATCTTAAACTTAATTTTATTTTATTTGTATTGTTTATATTACCAATAGGTGTAGGTATTACCTATAATTTTTAATTTGTTAAACATTTTTACTTGAATAAATAAAGGTTCATTGCATACTACTGTGTAAAATATTTTTTTAGCTAGTAATATTCATAATTTATTTATAATTTAATATCTTCAACTTTACTCTTTATAATTATAATTACTTATTTTATTTCCTAGATATTTAAGGGAATTACAATTATAGTTATTACATTTAAACTAAATACAAAAATCAAAGTAGGAATGTTTACACATTTCTTACTGTATAATTCATTAGTAAAAGTATCATATAATTATTATGTAAATACAATGATGTACAAACAGATAAGTATGATATATGGAAAATAATTTCAGGGATAAGTTCATGCGTGAACAATTTTAAAATTAATGTTTTCATAACCATATTGCAAAAACATGTTTGGGGGATGGTACTTGGTTCTTATGTTATTCTTAACTGTGTATAGATATAGTATTTACACCTACCTATAATATATATTATATATTATGTATGAATAGAAAACATGTTTGCAAACAATAAAAGTAAATTAAAAAAAATATTCGATACTCTTTAATATAACATTTTACAAACATTGTATGCAATGTTATTAAACTAAATTAAAACAAACATTGAATCTGTGGCCAAATAATTGTAGGATAATGTTAAATTAACATTATTTAATCCACGAATAACTTTATTCAAACGTTTTTTGGAACATTATGGTTTTTTACATAACTTTCTTCTAACTTATTTGAAATATGAATTTGCTGTGTGGGATTTATTAATGGAACACTCGTTATTATCTCATTTTGAATTGACAACTGTAGTTGAACCACCCATCCATAAATTTATTTATTGTAATGGGTTTTGCATTATTATTATTACATAGGTAATACTTAGTACCTACTTGGCTATACATTTTTAGACTGAATCAGTCCCTAAAATTGTGTGTAGTACGACACACTTTGTGTAGTACGAAAAGTGCAGTGTGTAGTACGAAATTTAAAAGTGTGTTATTCTAATTAAACCTTTATAATAATATTATGTATAATTTTATATCTTCACATTTTTTTTTATATTTTAATGATTTTTTGCTAAACCACATTTTAATTATTATCTACTATACATAGACACACAGTAAACAATATTTTGTGTTGTTACGTCTTATACTCTTATTATACAGTTATTATTATTCATTGTTATTAAGAGTAGCTATTTTTATTATTATCAGCTAGTAATGAACGGTGGTATATAGTATACTAGTGTTTATCTAGAAATAATTTAGATTTGACCGATTTGGGATTAGGTATGTGTGTAGTACGAAAATTTGGATATTTTAGGGACTGGACTGAATCCTCCGGCCAAGTAAACTAAATTTGGATTAATTTTAGTTAAAATAATTCATATAATAAATAAATATAAATAACCAATTTTTATTAAATTTTGATTAATTACTAATAATATAATATATATTATTATATATTTATATATTATATAAATTTTACACATTTAGAGCGATTAGCCCATTTACTTAGACTCCATCTTATATCACACATTTTATAGCATTTATCTTTAAGTTTTTTTCACTTAGCGTTTTTTACACGTAGACACGTAGTTGACGGAGTGCTTTTGTTAGAATATCATTAGTTTTTTTATAAATTATCATATTTAATATACTGTATTAATATGTCTGGGTTAATTGTTTATCCCGTGCACCCAACAATGGATTAAATTAAATTTTTTTTTTACATGGAGTTGTCATATTGTTTTTGTTGGTATATTATTAGTTTTTATAAATTGTATAATATATATTATATTTATTATTGCCGTCTCCATAGCGCGTTTATAATAATATTATTTATTAATACGATTAATACCTCATTCTAACGATTTGGTCCATTTATTAGACCTGTAGCCTTTAATAAATAATACAAAAATATTAACACATATTAAATGGGAATGTTTAGGTGTTTGAATGATAATATATATACACGGTCGTGTGCTTTGACTTATTTTTTTTTTACTTAAATAGCAATTGTGTCGCTGGATTTGTTTCAAAATTCTAATCATTCAGTAGAATTAATAATAGGAAAATAATGTCTCATTACCTAGCCTTACGAGCTTCTTATTTTTTAAAACATTTAAATCCACGCAGTACCATGACGTGGTCACGTTGCAATTAGAAAATATTGATCTATTAATAATAATTTA